CAAGGGAATCGCTTAAAGCCAAGAGTTTGAGGTTGCTGTGAGCTGTGATGCCACAGCACACGAGGGTGATATAGTGAGACTATCTCAAAAAGAAAGAAAAAAAAATGTCTGACATATCTGAAGAACCTGGAACATAGCAGGTAACAAGCATGCGATGGCTGTTGTTGAGGTACACTTGGTCCCCTCAAGAGGCCACCTTCTACCAGGATAATGGTAGCTTCATGCGCCCATTTACTCATGAAATATTTGCTGACTGCTCACTACGTCTCAGGCCCTGCACTAAGCACTAGGGCTAAAGGAGGGAACACAACAGACAAGTCTCTGGTCTTGTGGTGCCTCCTTCCAGCAGGGGGGTGGAAAACGATAAGAAATTGAAACATATATAAGTAAGAAACATGCTTAGAGTGCTCTGAAGTACAATATATAAATTAGCGTGCTCTGAAACATATATAAATAAGAAACATGAAGAGTGCTCTGAAGTACAATATAGATAAAGGGGACAGAGTGAGAAAGGCGTGCTGTGTAGGTGACGTGACGGGGATGGCCTCTCTGATGAGGCTTTAAAGAAGTGAGGGAACAAGCCACGTGAGTATCTGTCCAAAGAGCACTCTAGGCGGAAGGCTGGCCACGTGGGGGCAGCTTCCTGGGGAACCCCACACAGACTGTGGGGCACTTACAGAGCCCAGGCCCCAAACCCCCTGAGGAGCAGCCTTCTGCCCTTTGCCCAGGTTTTGGGCTACCCCTCTTCTTTGCACAGATCTTTAGACGCAACTCCCCTGGAGACAACGAGGGTCCTCTGCCTCCAGGCAGCCAGACACAGAAGGGCTGTGCAGAGGATTAGGCGTGGAGATGAGGGACAGCCTCAAAGAACCATCAACGCGTTAGTCCCAGGTGAGCCAAGCGTGTGTAAGGAAAGACGCCAGACTGTCTGACAGGCATCACTGTGAGAGGATGCAAGAAATGACGCATCCTTGAGAGCAAGTGCTGAGGACATGCCAAACAGAGGAAAGACACAGCTGGAGGTGAAAACTTGGGGTGCAGGTAGAGAGGTAGGGTGCAGGAGGGAGGCCTTGTTACCCCAGGCACCTCTGGAAGTGAGCTGAAAAAATTATGCATGCCCATACACACAAAACTGTGTTGCATAATTCAGAATTTGAAGTTCACCTAAAGCCCATGCGTGAACTCCAAGAGCCACAGATTAAAAACCACTTTAGCTGAAGGGACCTAACCTTGGTCTCTAACTGTAGCTTCAAGGTCACTACTGGCTGGCTCAGTTGAACTCAGGGACCACAGATACTACAGTGGATTAGGGTACTGCAAATTTAAGCCCTGCTTATAACCTCCAGCTTCATGGAGGTTTTAAAGAAGAAATGCATTAAATCATTTTGGATTCTTCCTTTTCTTGGTTAGGCCATTAGACGGTTCTTAACCTAAACTAGCAAATGTATAGGGCATGTGCTGTCTGCCTTCCTTCACCCTCACAGGCTCTGCAATACTCCTGGGGGTGGCCTCAAAAACGTCCTTGACACCTTGCTCCAGAGACAGCGGTGTGTGACTCACAGACATCTGTGCTATCACAGCAGCAGTAGCTCCTCTCTGTATAGGAAGTGGTGTTTACAGCCCACTGGCAGAGGAACACATGATTTGATTTTTTCTTTTTTAATGTAGCAGAAGAACGAATTACATGAGATTTTTGTATATTTCCTCACTCTGATCAGTTGTCCAGTTGAGATTAGGAATAGAGACTGTGCTCTGAAATACATGTTCTATTTGAAGCTAGAGAGCTAATTTAATGCCGTGGTTTCAGGTTGAAAGCAAGTAGCCCAGCTACCTCTGAAGCTACATAGCAAAATGCACAAATCTCAGACATAAAATGTGTGTATCTATGTGTGTGGACGTGTGTGTCCTCACACATGTGTTTGTATAGGGCAAAAATTCTGAAAGCAGGCAGGAAGATAATAAAGAAGATAAGATTTGAAGTCTTATAAAATGTAGAAAAATCACTCTGGTGTCCAGGTATGGTGGCTCCTGCCTATAATCCTAGCAGTCTGGGAGGCCAAGGCAGGTGGATTGCTTGTGCGCAGAAGTTTGAAATCAGCCTGAGCAAGAGCAAAATCTTGTCTCTACTTAAAAGAAAAAACAAAAAGCTCATTTCTACTAAAAAACAAACAAACAAACAAACAAACAAAAAAACAGGCCAGGGATTGTGGTGGGCTCCTGTAGTCCCAGCAGGGTGACAGAGTGAGACTCTGTCTCAAAAAAAAAAAAAAAAAAAAACCACCCTGGTTTCAGAAGAGTAAATAATATCAATGTTGAATCAGTAAGCATGCCAGGAAAATGCTTTTATTATCTGCCCTATTTGGACCTAGTCCATATTTCTATTTAATTTTCCCTCTCAATTTCTTGAGTAGTAATTATAAGGCTAACTTTCCAAATAAAGTAAAATAGTTCCTTTGCTCTACACAGATGTGTCACAAAGCATGTTAAGGCAAGTGTCCCCAAGTCCCTTGCCTTTGTCAGCGGGGCTGGGGGTTCATTTCTCATCCCAGGTTGGGAAGACTGTTCCTATCCCAGCTCATGCGCTAATTATCTGAAGACAAGTCACTGACAGGGTGGGTCACTTTCTAGGCTTCAGTTTCCTTGTTTATTAGATACATATGTTCGACTAGATTGGGCGTGCCTCTGTGTTGGGGGCTGGGGAGTGGCTTAGCCATGTTGCAGGCCAAACCGGTAACTAGTTTAAATATGGTTCTGTGGTGGGTCACTAAACCAAACTTAGGCACTAAATGCTCTGCCATTGATTAAGGAGGCTAGCAAAGCTGAAATGGAAGGTCTGAAAACTCCTCATCGCAGGGTAAGAAATCAAAGCAAACATCCTTCAAATGGCTCATTATACCTTCTGACACCAACAGGACAGAGCAAAGCTTCACTTTGCCTGCACTCACTGCTTCTATAGCCTCTCGGTCTACAAAATGGTAACAGCCTACATGTGAGAAATGACTTATTTCTTTTCTTTTCTTTCTTTCTTTTTTTTTTTTTTTTGAGACAGAGTCTCAAGCTATCAACCTGGGTACCGTGATGCCGTGATGTCACAGGTCACAGTTACCCCTAACTCTTGGGTTTAAATAATTCTCTTGCCTCAGCCTCCCAAGTAGCTGGGACTACAGGTGCCCGCCACAAGGCCCGGCTATTTTTTTTTT